AGACCTGGGGGGGACCACGTGAGTTCTGGGTGGCGGGGGGAGGGAGGGGGTATATTGTTCAGGATCCTTTTAGGGGGGTTACATCCAGGGGTGGGGGTCCGTGGAGGGATGAGGAGCATCTGAGACCTTTATTTTTGGGAGGGGACATGTGGCAAATAGAGATTTGGGGAAACTGGGTTCTATGGGGCGGTCCCAGGATCTGGGTTCCAGGTTGGGGGGGGATGGGGGGAGGGGGATCCAATACATTTCCCCACATAGATTCCCCACAAGCTCCTTATCCACCCCTGGAGTCATGCAGAAGAATCTGGAGATGTCCTAGAAGGGTCTTGGGGGTGTCCAGGGGGTGTCCAGGGGGTCCCCAGGTGGGTGCTGGGGATCTTTGGATTCATACAGAAGGGTCTGGAGATGTCTTGGATGGGTCTTGGAGTTGTCCAGGGGGTCCCCAGGATGGTCCTGGAGGTCCATTGAAGGATCAGGAAACTCCCAGGATGTGTCCAGGAGCTCTGAGGAGCCACTGGGATGATCTGGAGATGTCCCAGTAGAGTCTGGTGGGGGTCCAGAGTTTTCATGTGGGTCTGAGTGGTCCTGGAGTCATCCAGAAGGGTCTGGGGATGTTCCTGGAGGGTCCAGGGGGTTGATTCGTGTTGATCCAAGGGGTCCTTGGGTTCATCCAGAAGGACCTGCGGATGTCCCAGAATGATCCTGTAGGATTCAGGGGGTCTTCAGGTGGGTTCAAAGGGTCCTGTTGTCTTCTGGAAGGGTCTGGAGACGTCCCAAAGTTGTCTTGGGGTGTCCAGGGGGGTCCTGGCAAAGTTGGGGACACCTTCATGTCACCCTGGTGGTGCTGCATCCCAGAGTTGGGGACACCCCTCTGGGGAACCCATTCGTGTCCACCCCCTCAGACCCCATTGTTCCCATGGGGTGGGGGTGACAGCCCTTACTTTAGTAATTAAGGTTTATTTTTTGATAACGAGGGATTGGGGGATGCCATCCCCACGGCCCCATGCAAATAATAAAGGGCAGAGGAGCAGCTGTGGGGCTCCAGGTCTCACATTGGAAGGGGAACTTTGGGGACAGAGGTCACTGCAGCATCCTGGCCCCATGGCCCCTCTGTGCATGGTGGGGACATCGTGGTGCATCGTGTGCATCATGGTGCATCATGGTGCATCCTGTGCATTGTGGTGCATCGTGGGGACATCGTGGTGCATCGTGGGGACATCATGGTGCATTGTGGGGACATCGTGGTGCATTGTGGGGGCATCATGGTGCATCGTGGGGACATCGTGGTGCATCATGTGCATCGTGGTGCGTGGTGGGGACATCGTGGTGCATTGTGGGGACATCGTGGTGCATGGTGGGGACATTGTGGTGCATCGTGGGGACATCATGATGCCTTGTGGGGACATCATGGTGCATTGTGGGGGCATCGTGGTGCATCGTGGGGACATCGTGGTGCATTGTGGGGACATCATGATGCCTTGTGGGGACATCATGGTGCATCATGGGGGCATCGTGGTGCATCGTGGGGACATCGTGGTGCATCGTGGGGACATCGTGGTGCATCATGGGGACATCATGATGCCTTGTGGGGACATCATGGTGCATTGTGGGGGCATCATGGTGCATCGTGGGGACATCGTGGTGCATCATGGTGCATGGTGGGGGCATCGTGGTGCATTGGGGTGCATCGTGGGGGCATCATGGTGCATCCTGTGCATCATGGTGCATCGTGGGGACATCGTGGTGCATCGTGGGGACATCGTGGTGCATGGTGGGGACATCGTGGTGCATTCTGGGGACATCATGATGCCTTGTGGGGACATCATGGTGCATTGTGGGGACATTGTGGTGCATCATGGTGCATGGTGGGGACATCGAGGTGCATCCTGTGCATCGTGGTGCATCGTGGGGACATCATGGTGCATTGTGGGGACATCGTGGTGCATCATGTGCATCGTGGTGCATGGTGGGGGCATTGTGGTGCATTGTGGTGCATCCTGTGCATCATGGTGCATTGTGGGGACATCATGGTGCATCGTGGGGACATCGTGGTGCATCGTGGTGCATCGTGGTGCATCATGGTGCATCGTGGGGACATCATGGTGCATTGTGGGGACATCATGATGCCTCATGGGGACATCGTGGTGTATTGTGGGTTCATCGTGGTGCATCCTGTGCATCGTGGTGCATGGTGGGGACATCGTGGTGTGGTGTATCGTGTACACCATGGTGCATCATGTGCATTGTGGTGCATCGTGGGGGCATCGTGGTGCATCGTGTGCATCATGGTGCATTGTGGTGCATTGTGATGCATCGTGGGGACACTGTGGTGTATTGTGGGTTCATCGTGGTGCATCCTGTGCATCGTGGTGCGTGGTGGGGACATCGTGGTGCATCGTGGTGCATCATGGTGCATCGTGGTGCATTGTGGGGGCATCGTGGTGCATTGTGGTGCATTGTGGGGGCATCGTGGTGCATCGTGGGGACATCATGGTGCATCGTGGGGACATCATGGTGCATCGTGTACATCATGGTGCATCCTGTGCATCGTGGTGCATCGTGGGGACATCGTGGTGCATCCTGTGCATCGTGGTGCATCGTGGGGACATCATGGTGCATCCTGTGCATCGTGGTGCATCGTGGGGACATCGTGGTGCATGGTGGGGACATCGTGGTGTATCATGTACATCATGGTGCATCATGTGCATCGTGGTGCATCCTGTGCATCATGGTGCATGGTGGGGGCATCGTGGGGGCATCGTGGTGCATCCTGTGCATCGTGGTGCATCGTGGGGACATCATGGTGCATGGTGGGGACATCATGGTGAATCGTGGGGACATCATGGTGCATTGTGGGGACATCGTGGTGCATCCTGTGCATCGTGGTGCATGGTGGGGGCATCGTGGTGCATTGTGGTGCATCATGGTGCATTGTGGGGACATCATGGTGCATCCTGTGCAGCATGGTGCATCGTGTGCATCGTGGTGCATTGTGGGGACATCACGATGCCTCGTGGGGACATGGTGGTGCATCCTGTGCATCACGGTGCATCACGTACATCATGGTGAGGTCACAACGCCCCGCCTGGTGCCGTGAGCTCACAGTGCTCAGCGTGCGCCCCAGGCATCCTGTGCCACCCAGCAGCACTCGCTGTGGCTGCAGCGGTGGCGGTGGCAGCATGGCACGAGGGTGGGGGGCTCATCCGTCTTCAGCATACTTTCAATAACTCATTAGAATATTCATAGCTCATTTCCATATGGCCCATCCCTTCAGCACATGGTATCCCTTCTTGGGGACCCCCGTTGAGGATGAAGGCTCGACGTCCTCCTCGCTCCATCCTTTGTGCCTTTAGCCCTGAATCTGTCAGCTCTGCAGACGGAGTCCATCCTGCCTGAACTCTTCCCACGTTTGGCCTCGCTAATTGTTACCCTTACCTATTGCACATCCTGTTTGCTACATCCTTATTACCCTTCATTCTGGTTTTTCTATATTCCTGCTTAGCTTGCCTTTTTATACAATGGCTGACTCGTCCTTGCCTCTTTGCTTAGCTTATATTCCTATACTCGTGTTTAATCTCTTAGCTTTGCCATCCCCTAACTCACCCTCCCTTGCAATCCATCCGGCCCCACGGATTTGTGGGCATGCAGCTTCCAAAGCAGTTCCCAAACCACCTCACCGTGGGTTATTCCCATTCTGCTCCCCATCCCTACCCGGCAGCACAGGGGGCTGTGTGGCCAGGGGACAACCAGCAAAGCCTGCAGGCAAAGAAGGCGCTGAGCACCTCAGCCTGATCCTGATCCTCTCTCACTGCGTTCCCCTCTGCATCCCACAGGGGATGGAGATTCTCCTGTCATCCCTTGCTTTTGTCCTTCCTTCTTCCTCTCCTCCCTTCCTTGTCTTTCTCTTCCTTTCTTTCTTCTCCGTTTTATTTTCTTTCCACTACTGATGGCCCACACCCCCCCCCAGTCCCTCTGTGTCACTCCTGGGGTTTCACCCTCTCCCCGTTCCCCCCTCCCCTCCAGTTC